TTCTTCCTTAGACGGACGAGAGTGATTCAAAAAAATATCGACCGTCACGGAATTCCAGAAAATGAAACTATTTTTTAGAGTAGGCTATAAGTTTAGCATTTTACTACGAAACGAAGTGATATTCGAATACATGTTTGAAATGAAAGTTGTTCAGTTTTTCACAAGCTTACAGAATATCAGGTCATTTCTTAACAAGTATAACTGCATCGAATCAAAGAACAATAAAAATACTGTCCAACACGGAATTTCATCTTTTTTTGACGTTTCAATGAAGAATGTTAAAGAACAAAAATTTCAAATTGTTGTGATGAAAATAATTTATTTTCTAATCTGCGAGATCTACAAAGAGAGTTTTTATGATTCAATTGATTCGGTTCTGTTATCAAAACCAAATCAAATAGTAATTACTATCAGAGACGGGCAGCTTCGACCATTTCTCGCTCCAGCTCAGCTTCAGCTCTAGCCATTAACAGTCGCTCCGCTATAATGAAAACTTTTTTGCTGTTTTTGTTGAAGTTTGATGATGTGCAGTAAATTTGACGTTTTACTTCAACATATATACCTATAGAATATAGACAAAACAAACTAGTTCTCGATAAATTTAACTTAGCCTGATTACAATATGAAGATTATTTAAAATGTCAAATAGACTAGTGAACTACAGCAAATGTCGATTGCATTTTAGTAAAGTAAGCATTGAGAGCATATTCTCAGGGAGTCGACTGTGATGAGGACACATGAGTATGCCGCTCGAGGAAATCACCCTTTCAACTAGATCAGAGGAAACCGGTGCACAAAGTACTCTTGTAGTAAGCCGGTGCCAGTATGAATAAAGAGATCATTCATTGAAGTCATCATCTTGCTCAGTTAACAATGACAATCAGTTATATGATTGTTTTGCCATAGAAAAGTTTGTTCATTCAACTTTCAGTGGAATGAGAATTTTTTTCTGTTCTGTCATCGCTTACTCCTCATACACTTCATAATATTGAATTTTCTCTCTTCATCGGCGTCATGTTCTTATATTTTCAAACTAACAATAGCGCAGTCAAATAAGCTGTAGAACAATCGACTAAATGAACGATTAGTCATTGTCTCAAGCATTGTCCTTGATTAAAATGTAACAATGGCATATTCACTGCAATGATAGTCGTTGACGAACTTTTATCTCACTAATTCTTCTGTCTTTGTTTACAGAAGAATAAAGTGAAAAATGAGCGCCTGGTCAGAGCTAGAAAAGAAAAGGTCTCTCTCACTCCACTCTAGCTCCATTTTATTCACGAGGCGCTCCGCTCCGACTCCGCTCCAGTTCCACTGTTCTGAGGAATTGCTCCGCCCCATGGAGCGGGCGCTCCGGTGTCGGAGCTGCCCATCTCTGATTTGAATATATTTTGCGTTGGATTCTATTACATCTAAAACAGTCATTGAATGTTCATCATCAAATGATGTACGAAGAGTTTCAGAAGCATGTACACTTTCATTTATTAATAATTCATCAATAATAGTTTGAGTATTTTTATCCTGAATCAATATCGCATAATCACTCACATTTTTGCATCATTTACCGACTATAACGACTTGATATGGTGCTATTTGCACAATGAATCGATTATTGTCTCAAGAAAACTTTTTTGTTATATTCCAGACTTATTTTGAATATTCGTCTCCAGTATCACTCATCTTTAACATGACTACTCGTAAAAAAACCATCACAAAGTAATTATCAATTTTTTTAGTCCGATATGACAAATTCTCAAATAAATAACGTTGTTAGACTGACTAGCATTGCCATTACTACAAATAATTAGTTCTTGTAATGATTGTACCAATAGTTTTCAACGTATTAGAATAGGTTCGATGCATTTAAAATAGCCGAAAGTTCTTATCCTTGGACTTACCCAGCGTGAAATTATATATATTGCTGAAAGTCAACTGTGAAAGTCCGTATTGCAAGTTATGTGCTGCTTGACTCTACCATCAAATTGACTATACTGGAATGATAAAATCGGATTCGAAAGAGAGTTGATTTTAAATGCGCAATGAATCCTGTTCTATTATTGAATTGCATTGCTTTTTTAAAAGCTTGATAAGTGATGATCTTCTTCAGTATTCAATAATTAATTCTTTTCTCACAAAAAAAGTAAAGAATAAACAACAAACATTTTTATCTGGTACTATTTTGTTCATCAATTTTGCTCGTAAGTGACTAGCAAGTAAAAGAACATCGCTCTGCCTCTTAATCTGTGGATCGTGATTTTTCATTTTATTGAAACAGGAACCCCGTATAGGGTGTTCACTAAATTTTGACCGGCTTAATCAATAGATTTATTGATTAAGCCGGTCAAATCTTAGTGAATACCCTTTATGCCGTATTGTTACAGAAAATGAACAGGAAAACAAAATATATTCTTTCAGTTTGCATTTCCATAAAATAGAAGAACAAATGTCTTTTTGTTGATCGGCTCATTCTTGGAATATAAAAGTTTTGACAATAATCATCTTTCATACAAATCGTGCAAGAATGCTGATTATATGTTTTATGATATTTCTTGCTCTGCATAGTGTAGTGTATACTCAATATTATCTATATTCCTCTGATGTTCATCAGAGTTCATATCTGACATTTGATTGTCTCTACGCTCAAGTCTTTGAAGGCGCATTAGATATTTATTCGTCTTAAAATTAAAAATAATAATTTGATCCCTATTGTCAACTACTTGATAATGATGAAAAAAGAAGAAGAAATGTCTGATATATTGAATGAAAGTATAGCGAAGAAAATTACTTTTAATGAAATAAGAGAACAAGGTGTAACAGATGAACAACTTCTTAATTGGACAGCACCCATCGATGCTGTCGAACAGTATGAAATGAATATTCGAAGTTCAAAATTATTCTATAACTGTTCATCTCTATGGTTTGGCTCAAAATGCCAGTAGTGATTTGTTTACGATTCATCTTTTTCATTTAATAAAATTATTCGAGCTTCTATGAAACGCCATACGGACATTATGGCGCCAAATATGTAATGACAAAACTGATTGTATGAATGGTGAAGATAAAAGTGGTGTGAAACATTAGAAATGACAACATGTGCTGATCTTGAATATCGATGTCATTATGGTGGTCGGTGTATTTCACTGATATTTATATGAGAGAGCTACTTAAGTACTGACTATCTGGATGGTTGTGAAGAGAAAGAAAACATCTTTCGACCTCAGTTTCTAACAAATTTCGCTGATGGTCAGTTTATCACATTTCGGTGCGAAGAATGTATTAATCGATATCCACTTTATTTTTCATGTGGCGATGGTCTATTTTTGCATAGGACTGATTTGCCAGTTAATGGAAAACCGTGTTCCAACTGGCACAATAGACAAATCACTTTAGCCATGCTGACTTCATTCAATTATATTAAGGATACTAATTGTCGGCAAGCTTTTCGTTGTTTACGTCTTTCCGATCGAATTTATCGTAAGTATTATTATCCGTGTATTAGTTTAACTATTGAGAAAACTCAAGCACTGTTTTTGTTTTTGAACAGTAGTATGGCTAAGGAGAAATAATTAGATAGCAAAAATTACCAATTACAATAATATTAGTTTCACCAGTTGCATAACGTGACAAGACTACCAATGTTAAGGTGCTTCATAAGTAAAAATGATTTCTTAGCTAACAACTTATTAAATGCCCTACGAAAGTATTGACACATACTGGGTGTGCCAAAAGTTTTCAGACAATTGGTGTTTTTCACATATTTCATTTCATAGAGCGGATAAAATTTTGAATTTTATTTCTGAAGATGCGCTATTCAGTTCTCTACAAAAACGCATTTATCTTATTTAAAAATAATATTTTTCTATACGAACGAATGTTTTGCTTTTAGAACTAGTAGACTTTCAGATAGCTCTTAATAGCCTCAGTTGACTGCCTATATATTAAGTATTGATTCCATTAGACAGAATTTTTCACAAGGTTAAATTTTGAAAATCACAAAATTCTCTTGCTCAATTATCTCGTTTCAGAAAAACAACCTTGTAAGAATGTGATATATGGCCAAACAAAGTTCAATTTTATAGTATTCTGAAGAAAAAACATCTCTTTTTCTACTGGATGCTCAAAAAACACTGAACAAAACGATTCAATTGGAAGAAGACTCGAAACATTGCTAGGAAAACTATTTTTACAGTAACATATGAAACAGATTATGTTATTAGACCCAACAAAAATCGTTATCGAACAGAAACAAATTATTCTGAAAGAGTATTGATATATGATCATATTGGTAAAACTTAGTTTCATACTGACCTGTTTATAATAGGAAAAGTCAGAAAAAGTGTTGTAATAAAAACAGACGGGATATAAATGCAATTCATATAACCACACTATTTAACCGATCCAAAATTTCAGTTCTACTATTTTAAATTAAAGTGAGTACACTTTTATGGAGAATTGAATAGCGCATCTTCAAAAACAAAATTCAAAATTTCATCTTTCGTTTGAATTGAGTTATATGAAAAACACCAAATGTCGCAAAACTTTTGGCAAACCCAGTCGTATCGATATAAAAATGGAAATATTATGATTCATGGTAATTTATTGTACGTTTCTTATCGTTTCGTATCATTTCTACTATATGTTTTGCAGAAACAAAGGATATAATCAAGTAGACATATTGCAAGACAAAGAGAACAGCTACAGTTCATGCAGTCTTTAAGAGAAGGAATTTATAGAAGCTAGTAATACATAGGAATTTAATATTATGAGCTTATACTCAATCAAATAGTTTCATTCGCCATTTGCAATCTTGATTATCGATAGAGTCGATTCTTTAAAAATCCTAACTAGGACGTTTTGATGAAAGAATGATATTATACTTTTATAGATTACTGTTAGGTTAAAAATTAGGTTAAAAATATCAAATTAGATACGATTAATAGATTATTAGTGAAACAAGTGCAAGTTTCTGGTAGAAACAGTCGTTATATCGATAACATTAGTCAATTGGGAAGACTATGCGCATGAGCTGGCAATTGATCTGTTGCAAGTGTGATCTCAGACGAGCCGACTACTGCACCCACAGTGAAGCCTTCTCCAGAGCCAACAGTCACCCGATCACGTAGGTCAGGTAGAGCGAAACTGCTTTTACCGTCGCCTCCATAATATGTCTGGAGCAAAGAAAATAAAGCTATATTGGATGAAATCGACAGTAGACTACCATCAGCTCTAGACCAACCCTGTGGTACATAGTTGCCGGCAAATCCAACGATCTCTCCCAATACGGGTGTTTGAGAGTCTATTGTACCACCATCCCGAGAAGGATATACTCCTGACAGTGATATCATATAATTAATGCCCAAAGACGGTTGTGCGTTTTCGAATGGCTGTCCATCACCTGTACTACTAGTCTGATTATTACCATATGTATTACTAAGCAGACTGTGTTGATGTGAGGGTAAATTGGTACTGAGCAAAGTAATAGATTCTGTTCCGCTCTTACCACCGAGCTGTAGGCTAGATCCTGTAGCTACACCGACGCCAACACGACCTCGTAAATCTGGTAGAGCAAAATTGGATCGACCATCACCTCCATAAGTAGTGCCAATTACAGCAAATAGTGCGGTATTCTGTGCAATGGAAAGTAAGTTTCCATTGGCAAGTGTCCACCCGTTCGGGATTGAGTTTCCAATAAGAGCAACAATTTGTCCAAGGAAGGGGTATTGTACAGTAGAATCAGGTGATGGAAAGTATCCGGATGTACAGATGATGTAGTTCACTGGCAATGATAGCTGAAGATTGTTGAAGGATTGCGATGCACCCGTAACACCTGTGGATTGAGTTGAACTGGGAATTGAGTGTATATGTGCTGGCATTTGATTTATAGTCAGTGTAATCTGTTGGCTTCCAGTCTGTGAACCGAGAGTATAAGAAGATAGATCACTACCAATCATGGCGATTCCTTGCAAATTAGGAAGAGCAAAGTTCGATGTACCATCACCTCCATAAGTTGTACCAATGATAGAGAATAATGTTCTATTGAGTGAAATCGAAAGCAATCTTCCGTCTGCTATCGGAGTACTTCCTGGAGCGAAATCGAAAGCAAATGTACGAATCACACACCAAGAAAGTGTGAAATTTGTGTGTACTATTTGCATAAGTACCACAGATGATTGCATGTTATTAAACGATTGTCCGCTACCAGTGATACCAGTGTATTTTCCCGTTGATTGGGTTGATATTGTAGCTAAAAATGACATCGATATCAACGAACTTGAACAGTAAGTGGAAAAAATATTTCAGCTTAGTCATGTGCGATGGCCTTTTTCAGTTGAATTTTTTCTATTTTTAACAATTCTTCACTATGTGATGCGCAATAGAACTTGTTACAATTAAGTTGGTGGATATTAATTGCATTCATTGAAAAGACTTATTTGCGTCAGCACATTACCGTAGAGACACTAGTTTTCTTTAAAACTCAAATTCAAATGCGTAGTTTTCAAACAAAAGGAACCATATTATGACTCTCTTCATAGTAGTGTCTAGGCTTTTGAAGTATATTTCAAAGTGTAGTTTGTGAGCAAATATATTTTTAGCTTATCATTTACTGAAATCTATTGGAACTCAAAATAAAATCATAAATGTACGTTTCAGACAGAACTTAATCATACTCTATGACCAGTAATACTCTGTTCACAATAACGCAACTTTAATCTCTCTCATTTCTGTCGAGTTTTGGCTGTGATAAGCCAAAGACTAAAAGGTATTTTGAATTTTCGAAAATGCTTTCAGTTAAACATGCATTAAATTCTCAGTTTTCTTTTACTTTCCACAACTAACATGCATAATAAATGTCCATAAAGTTATCAGCATATTCGAGTATTTTAAAAAAATATTCGATTCCGGAGTTGTCCTGGTCAAATAAATAACTGTCCTGAATGCAGAATTGAATTTCGGTTCGAATGGCCGTCTCAGATATCCAATAAAAAATCATATAGTGCCACAAAAAAAATTAAAATTACTTTTCATGCCCGAAAAATAGAGCAAAAACGCGGATTTCAGCATAATATTCAAAATACTACTTGTCCCACTAAAACAAATGACTGTCCTTGATAGAGAATTAAAGTCTACATCGATTGATAGCCTCCGATTATTTCCAAAAAATCAGTAAGACCCTCCAAAAAATCAAATACTTCTAGATGAAAGATCTCCAGAGACCACACACCAGAATATTCACAAAGATATGTATTCCGGTCGGATAAATCAGTGTCCCCGATAGATAATTAAATTCTACATCGATTTATAGTCTCTTATTATTTCCTAAAAACCAGTAAGGCCTTCAAAAAAATCAAATACTCTTCAATGAAAGATCTCCAGAGACCACACAC